ATTATTATATTATTAGAACATTATATTATTACAACATTATATTATTACAACCTTATATTATTACAACATTAAATTATTACAACATTTTATTATTATATTATTAGAACATTATATTATTAGAACATTATACTATTACAACATTATATTATTACAACAATATATTATTACACTTTGTATGATTAAAACAATATTATTACAACATTATATTATTACAACCTTGTATTTTTAAAAAAAATTATATTATTACAACATTATATTATTACACTTTGCATTATTAAAATAATATTATTACAACATTATATTATTACAACTATGTATTATTAAAACATTATATTATTAAAACATTATATTATTACAACATTATATTATTACAACATTATATTATTACAACATTATATTATTACAACATTATATTATTACAACATTATATTATTACAACATTATATTATTACAACATTATATTATTACAACATTATATTATTACATTACAAAATTGAACTCAGTTGACCGTTCACACATGAAAAACCGTCTGCCGGCTTAGATGACCGGCTACACCCTGAGAATCCCGTGTGTGCCGGCTTAGATGACCGGCTACGGCCTGAGAATCCCGTGTGTGCCGGCTACAGCCTGAGAATCCCGTGTGTGCCGGCTACACCCTGAGAATCCCGCGTGTGCCGGCTTAGATGACCGGCTACGGCCTGAGAATCCCGTGTGTGCCGGCTACGGCCTGAGAATCCCGTGTGTGCCGGCTACAGCCTGAGAATCCCCTGTGTGCCGGCTACACCCTGAGAATCCCGTGTGTGCCGGCTACAGCCTGAGAATCCCGTGTGTGCCGGCTTAGATGACCGGCTACAGCCTGAGAATCCCGTGTGTGCCGGCTTAGATGACCGGCTACAGCCTGAGAATCCCGTGTGTGCCGGCTTAGATGACCGGCTACAGCCTGAGAATCCCGTGTCTGCCGGCTTAGATGACCGGCTACAGCCTGAGAATCCCGTGTGTGCCGGCTACAGCCTGAGAATCCCGTGTGTGCCGGCTACAGCCTGAGAATCCCGTGTGTGCCGGCTACAGCCTAAGAATCCCGTGTGTGCCGGCTACAGCCTGAGAATCCCGTGTGTGCCGGCTACGGCCTGAGAATCCCGTGTGTGCCGGCTTAGATGACCGGCTACAGCCTAAGAATCCCGTGTGTGCCGGCTACAGCCTGAGAATCCCCTGTGTGCCGGCTCTATGGGGACCCACCCAGCCAAACCTGTCCATTAGACGAGCGACATACCCGGCAGGTCGGGCAGTGACAGCACGCGTGTGTATCTAGGCATTAGCTCGTGTTTGCTCCTTCAGCTTATCAGGGGCTGTCGACACTCTGGCCGATGGCTGGATGGTCACATTGGACAGTACAACACCATGGATTTATAATGCCGATGACTGGATGGTCACATTGGACAGTACAGCACCATGGATTTATAAGGCCGATGGCAAGATGGTCAAATTGGACAGTACAACACCATGGATTTATAAGGCTGATGGCAAGATGCTCAAATTGGACAGTACAACGCCATGGATTTATAAGGCCGATGGCAAGATGCTCAAATTGGACAGTACAACACCGTGGATTAATAAGGCCGATGTACCAGTACAAGAGAGAGTTGTACCAGTACAAGCTAGAGCTGTACCTGTAGAAGAGAGAGTTGTACCAGTACAAGAGAGAGTTGTACCAGTACAAGAGAGAGTTGTACCAGTACAAGAGAGAGTTGTACCAGTACAAGAGAGAGTTGTACCAGTACAAGCTAGAGCTGTACCAGTACAAGAGAGAGTTGTACCAGTACAAGAGAGAGTTGTACCAGTACAAGAGAAAGTTGAACCAGTACAAGAGAGAGTTGTGCCAATAGAAGAGAGAGTTTTAATGTACAAGAGAGTTGTACCAGTACAAGCTAGAGCTGTACCAGTACAAGAGAGAGCTGTACCAGTACAAGAGAGAGTTGTACCAGTACAAGAGAGAGTTATACCAGTACAAGAGAGAGTTGTACCAGTACAAGAGAGAGTTGTACCAGTACAAGAGAGAGATGTATCAGTACAAGAGAGAGCTGTACCAGTACACGAGAGCACTGTGCGAGTCAGGTAGAAGATCCAGGAATGTGGTCCCTGGCTTGATCTCTCCACAAAAGATTTGAATATTCTCAATATTGAATAAAGCTTCTGTGTCAGTCAGGCCCAATGTAAACAGACGCCATCTTGAAGTGCGCTACGGGCGGGTAGACCACGAACTGGCTAGAGCAAGAGGAGACTACTGGGCCAATCTTCTGTGTTATGCCATGGGTTATTGAACCTGAATTCAGCCACAGCTGAGATCGCTTGTAATAAATAAACAAGGCTGTGTGTATCAACATATGTCAACATATCTTTCTTCATAATTTTAAAATTAAATGAAAGAAATCAGTCCATCCACGCACCAAGTGAAGGTTTGTGCCTTCAAGAAATAGGTTAGGTTCCTACCAAAGGCCTTCGTTGAACTTATTGACAAGTTTAGATGCCAGACGATATCCGGATCTTTGGCCATGTCACGTGACAGTCAACTGACACGTGACCGGCTCGACTGGTCCCCAGACACGCCTGCCTGTAGACGGGGCGGGGAGAGGGGGGAGGGGCTGGCCTATTGTTGGCGCCAGCTCGGTGAAGACCGTATCTGGTGCGGACATCAAAGGGAGCGGGGTAGAGATACGGCTAGAAAACATTCATGAGTTATTGCAGGCTCTAATCTTTGGGCTTGTTGATGTGTCCGCAACCCTACCCCCGACAAAGCCCGTCCATACCTTGTCAAAGCCCCTCCATACCCCGTCAAAGCCCCTCCAAGCCCCTCCAATGACCAGGACTAGTATGCGTCTACAGCCCAGTCCAACACACCTCCAACCTTATGCCCCCCCCCCTTACTTCCACGTTGCCATCTGCCCTAAAAGATCACAAAAAAATTGTCATCTGCCCTAAAAGATCATAAAAAAACATTGTCATCTGCCCTAAACGTTCATCAAAAAATTGTCCTCTGCCCTAAAAGATCACAAAAAACATTGTCATCTGCCCTAAGATCACAAAAAAAACATTGTCATCTGCCCTCCTACACTAATAAACCACAGGTGGCTTGACCCCCCCCCCCTCCTCACCTACTTTTCCTACTACTTTCCCCCCCATTAAAACAACCACAGGATAATCTAAACTCCTCCCACTAAACAGGATAATCTAAACTCCCACTAAACTGGATAATCTAAACTCCTCCCACTAAACAGGATAGACTAAACTCCACCCACTTAACAGGATAATCTAAACTCCTCCCACTAAATAGGATATCATAAACTCCACCCACTAAACAGGATATCTTAAACTCCACCCACTAAACAGGATATCATAAACTCCACCCGCTAAACTGGATAGCCTAAACTCCACCCACTAAACAGGATATCATAAACTCCACCCACTAAACAGGATAGCCTAAACTTCACCCACTAAACATGATAGCCTAAACTCCACCCACTAAACAGGATAGCCTAAACTCCACCCTCTAATCAGGATAGCCTAAACTCCACCCACGATTCCTACAGCCTATGTGCCCGCCCATCAAGCCCACAACCTAAACTCCGCCTACTAAGCCCATATAGCTTAAACGTCAGCCACTCAGACCATAGCCTAACCTCCCCACCCACTAAGCCCCCATCTTACCCTCCCCGCCCCCTAAGCCCACAGCCCACCTTCATGTGTGTTCAACATGAAAGCATGAGTGACCTAAAAAAATATCTCAAGACACTTTGAATCTACTGTCAAAGTTTCCTTGTACGTCCGCTCCCCTCCCGCCGGCCTCTCCAATGCGCGACGAATGCTACAAGTAATGTTGGGACGTTCGCTTGCTAGAATCACTCGTTGATAGCCGGCGCTGGGTAGGAGAGAAAGATAGCTGCGCGGAGTATTTGTTTACTTAGTATTTTTTAAAGAATACTTTTCTATGTAACCAAATAGAGTGCGGGGTACTGTTAAGTAGAAGCGAACTTGTTCCTATCATTTTGTCTATTTATGTGAATTTAATGCCAACTACAAATAAAATTGAAAGATAAAAGACGCACATAGATCAAGCTACGCTGAAATATTCTCTCATGTTATATTTCATTGTCCAGGAACAACAAAGCCATTTTTGTGGTGACGCAAAATAGATCATATTTCTAGTTCCGCCACAGACATACAATTCATACATGTACACATACAGATAAAAATATTTACATATATTATTATATTGACATACGAATTATTTGATCATTTTGTGCTGTTACGTTCAAGTCCGAAAAAATTAATAGGTGGAGTCACCCCCAGTGTTTCTTCTAGACTTTTTTCTCCGGTAGGGGGCACTTCTTGGAATTTCGGGGGGGGGGGGAATGGACGACAATAATTGGTGGGGCGGTAGATATTTTTCGGGGGGGGGGGGGGGAGGGGGGGGGGGAGAAGGGTCCCGAGGAGACCTACCCCCTACCCCTACTGTCAGATAGCCATTACCCTAACCTACCCCCTACCCCTACTGTCAGATAGCCCTTACCCTAACCTACCCCTGCTGTCAGATAGCCCTTACCCTAACCTACCCCTGCTGTCAGATAGCCCTTACCCTAACCTACCCCCTACCCTACTGTCAGATAGCCCTTACCCTAACCTACCCCCTACCCTACTGTCAGATAGCCCTTACCCTAACCTACCCCCTACCCTACTGTCAGATAGCCCTTACCCTAACCTACCCCCTACCCCTGCTGTCAGATAGCCCCCCCCCCCCCTAACCTGAGATATCTGGCCAGCCCAATCGACCTCTGCACCTGTCAATCAAGCGATGTCGTCACCAGACTGCGTGTGGTCTCGCACACGGCGGGTTGCATCGCTTGCACCCCCACCGCACCCCCACCCCATCCCCACCCTCACCTCCCCCTCCTAGCGTCACTTTCTAAATCACCGGCCAGCGGTAGGTTAAAGGTCAAATAGAACATCTATAGTTCGTGCAGTGGTAGAGGACGGACGTCATCAAGTATAATGCAGACATTGGACAGTAAAACACCAGGAGAGGACGTACTGAGGAGAAGACGTACTGAGGACGTAATGAGGACGTAATGAGGAGAGGACGTACTGAGGAGAGGATGTACTGAGGACGTAATGAGGAGAGGACGTACTGAGGAGAGGACGTACTGAGGACGTAATGAGGAGAGGACGTACTGAGGAGAAGACGTACTGAGGAGAGGACGTACTGAGGAGAGGACGTACTGAGGACGTAATGAGGAGAGGACGTACTGAGGAGAGGACGTACTGAGGAGAAGACGTACTGAAGAGAGGACGTACTGAAGAGAGGACGTACTGAGGACGTAATGAGGAGAGGACGTACTGAGGAGAGGACGTACTGAGGAGAGGACGTAATGAGGACGTACTGAGGAGAGGACGTACTGAGGAGAGGACGTACTGAAGAGAGGACGTACTGAGGACGTAATGAGGAGAGGAGGTACTGAGGAGAAGACGTACTGAGGAGCGGACGTACTGAAGAGAGGACGTACTGAGGACGTTATGAAGAGAGGAGGTACTAAGGAGAGGACGTACTGAGGAGCGGACGTACTGAAGAGAGGACGTACTGAAGAGAGGACGTACTGAGGACGTAATGAGGAGAGGACGTACTGAGGAGAGGACGTAATTAGCAGAGGACGTACTGAGGAGAGGACGTACTGAGGAGAGGACGTACTGAGGAGCGGACGTACTGAGGAGAGGACGTAATTAGCAGAGGACGTACTGAGGAGAGGACGTACTGAGGAGAGGACGTACTGAGGACGTACTGAGGAAAGGACGTATTGGGGGGGTGACGTACTGAAGACAGAACGTACTTAGAGATCCACATGTTAGAGAATCCTGGGTTTATTACATACTAGAGCGAGATTAGCAGGAATCAGTTTATTCTATCATCCATGACTGCTTTAATCTGTAGGATGATGTAATGGTATAAATCTGGTATGTAATGGTATACATTTTTATTCTGTAGGATGATGTAATGATATATATCTTTAGTCTGTGGGATTCCGACAATGACTTAACAATTAATTAGTCGCTATTGTTATCTCTACAGAACTATGAAATAGCTACTTGCACTTATCGGTGCTGTTATGGCAGTTTAAAGTGTAATGTGTAAGATTATGGCAGTTATAGCTAGTTATAATCTGTAGTACTATAGCAGTTATTGTTAGCTATAATCCGTAGGATTATTGCAGTTATCGTTAACTCTAATCTGTAGGATTAAGTCAATTTGGCCAAGCGAGCCGCACGCCCCCCGAGCAAACAGAGCAGACCTGAGGCAGGCGATGCTGGCCATGAAAGCATCTGTCGTCTGCTGGCTAAACTAGCTGTTTGGTCAGGGGAGGAACTCAGCTTGACGGGGAGACGTTGGACGACTGCGTTTATTTATAGCTCAAACACCGCTGGCGTCTGCTCAAGTGGGTCTCAAATCTTTCTGTCTGAGCAGGTCTCAAATCTATCTGTCTGAGCAGGTCTCAAATCTTTCTGTCTGAGTAGGTCTCAAATCTTTCTGTCTGAGCAGGTCTCAAATCTTTCTGTCTGAGCAGGTCTCAAATCTTTCTGTCTGTCTGAGCAGTTCTCAAATCTTTCTGTCTGAGCAGGTATCAAATCTTTCTGTCTGTCTGAGCAGTTCTCAAATCTTTCTGTCTGAGCAGGTCTCAAATCTTTCTGTCTGAGCAGGTCTCAAATCTTTCTGTCTGTCTGAGCAGGTCTCAAATCTTTCTGTCTGAGCAGGTCTCAAATCTTTCTGTCTGAGCAGGTCTCAAATCTTTCTGTCTGAACAGGTCTCAAATCTTTCTGTCTGAGCAAGTCTCAAATCTTTCTGTCTGAGCAGGTCTCAAATCTTTCTGTCTGAGCAGGTCTCAAATCTTTCTGTCTGAGCAGGTCTCATATCTTTCTGTCTGAGCAGGTCTCAAATCTTTCTGTCTGAGCAGGTCTCAAATCTTTCTGTCTGAGCAGGTCTCAAATCTTTCTGTCTGAGCAGGTCTCAAATCTTTCTGTCTGAGCAGGTCTCAAATCTTTCTGTCTGTCTGAGCAGGTGTCAAATCTTTCTGTCTGAACAGGTCTCAAATCTTTCTGTCTTTCTGAGCAGGTCTCAAATCTTTCTGTCTGAGCAGGTCTCAAATCTTTCTGTTTGTCTGAGCAGGTCTCAAAACTTTCTGTCTGAGCAGGTCTCAAATCTTTCTGTCTGAGCAGTTCCAAAATCTTTCTGTCTGAGCAGGTCTCAAATCTTTCTGTCTGAGCAGGTCTCAAATCTTTCTGTCTGAGCAGGTCTCAAATCTTTCTGTCTGTCTGAGCAGGTCTCAAAACTTTCTGACTGAGCAGGTCTCAAATCTTTCTGTCTGAGCAGTTCCAAAATCTTTCTGTCTGAGCAGGTCTCAAATCTTTCTGTCTGAGCAGTTCCAAAATCTTTCTGTCTGAGCAGGTCTCAAATCTTTCTGTTTGGAGGTGTTTTAATTATGAAAAGGTGGTGATTGGCCAGGTCTAGTGATGTTCCTTGTGATTGGCCAGGTCTAGTGATGTTGCTTGTGATGGCCAGGTCTAGTGATGTTGCTTGTGATGGCCAGGTCTAGTGATGTTGCTTGTGATGGCCAGGTCTAGTGATGTTGCTTGTGATTGGCCAGGTCTAGTGATGTTCCTTGTGATTGGCCAGGTCTAGTGATGTTGCTTGTGATGGCCAGGTCTAGTGATGTTGCTTGTGATGGCCAGGTCTAGTGATGTTGCTTGTGATGGCCAGGTCTAGTGATGTTGCTTGTGATTGGCCAGGTCTAGTGATGTTCCTTGTGATTGGCCAGGTCTAGTGATGTTGCTTGTGATGGCCAGGTCTAGTGATGTTGCTTGTGATGGCCAGGTCTAGTGATGTTGCTTGTGATTGGCCAGGTCTAGTGATGTTCCTTGTGATTGGCCAGGTCTAGTGATGTTGCTTGTGAGGGCCAGGTCTAGTGATGTTGCTTGTGATGGCCACTTGTTTCACTACCGAAGGTCATGAATTGTTCTAGACAGCCCGTGGGGCGCTGCATGCATGGCGTGCACCCTCTAGCCCGAGGGGTGCTGTATGCCTGGCATGCACCCCTCTGATCCGCCCGTAACAGTGTGATCTACGGCTACGCATGACTGCGTGTCTGAACGGCGGCAGACATGAAAGCCCAAAGATTTGAAACCTTTTCAAAGTCCCCACAGCCGAGAGGGGAGCTAAATCTATTCAAAGTCAACTTCTAATTAGGCCGTGTTTTATCCATTTCTTCCTGGCGACCTCGTTATGTGGCGAACAATAGCTCGATCTGTCGTGTCATAATACGCCAGCCCTGCCCCCTCGCCACCACAAATATTGAATGTTGCTCTGGGGTGGCAGGGGGGGGGGGGGGGGGTCCACAAATGTTTAATTTTGGGGTTTGTGGGGGTGGGTCTAGAAATATTTAGTGTTTGGTTGAAGGGGGGGGGGGCGATACCAAAATTTTTAAAAAAGATTTTCGATTGATCGGCGGCAGACAAAATCGTGCTGAGGTGTAAGATGGGCTGTGTAAGATGGGCTGTGTAAGATGGGTTGTGTCAGATGGGCTGTGTAAGATGGGCTGTGTAAGATGGGCTGTGTAAGATGGGCTGTGTAAGATGGGCTGTGTAAGATGGGCTGTGTAAGATGGGTTGTGTAAGATGGGATGTGTAAGATGAACTGTACTTACATACAGAAGCTTGAAATACCGACGGCAATAACGGGAATTCCCGAACACGGATGTAGTATTTCACAAGACGGGGGGCAGGGGGGGGGGGGCGGACCGCACCGGGTGACACTATTCAAGGGGGTGACACCAACACGAAACCTAGTTAATTAAAGACATTCTGCTTTTTTTTCAAGTTGGTTTTATCGTTTATTTAAGTTATACGCCGCACGACGCTCGGTGTGACACATTATGGGATGGTAGTGACACAATATGGGATGGTAGTGACACAATATGGGATGGTAGTGACACAATATGGGAGGGGAGTGACACAATATGGGATGGTAGTGACACAATATGGGAGGGGAGTGACACAATATGGGATGGTATTGACACATTATGAGATGGTAGTGACACAATATGGGAGGGGAGTGACACAATATGGGATGGTATTGACACATTATGAGATGGTAGTGATACAATATGGGAGGGGAGTGACACAATATGGGATGGTATTGACACATTATGAGATGGTAGTGACACAATATGGGAGGGGAGTGACACAATATGGGATGGGAGTGACACATTATGAGATGGTAGTGACACAATATGGGAGGGGAGTGACACAATATGGGATGGTAATGGGAGTGACACAATATGGGATGGGAGTGACACATTATGAGATGGTAGTGACACAATATGGGATGAGAGTGACATAATATGGGATGGACAATGGTAGTCTAACTGACCTCTGGTCACCCACCCGTTATTTGTATCTTTGATTTTCTTTAGTTGTGGAGTCACACAGGCCTTAGTGTAGAGTCATGAGGCCTTGACGCAGTGAAATGCGCGTCGCCTTGAAGCCCGTGCAAACAAGGCCAGCCAGCGAGAGGCTCGAGTGGCCCTGTGTCAACAGAAAACCTATCCAGTTACCCGCGGGCCGCGGCCGGGAGGTACCAGCAAATTAGGCCAGCCGTCGATACTAGAACAAAGTACAGTTGATCCGCTTACGCCGTCGTCATTCTTGTTGGCGTTGGTGGTGGTGGTGTTGCTATTGGTTTTGACGTTGTTGCTGTTATTTTTGTGTGTGTGTTGTTACTGTTGTTGGTGTTGGTGTTGTTTTTGTTGGTGTTGCTGTTATTTGTTGTTGGTTGTGGTGCTGTTGTGTTGATTTTGTAGCTGTTGCTGATCTTGGAATAGTTCTTGTTGTTTTTGCTTTTCGTGTTATTGTAGGTTTTGGTAGTAGTGGTAGTTGTTGTTGATTTGGTAATTTTAGTGTTGTTGTTGTTTGTGTTTTTATTTGAATGCCTTCGCTCACAAAAATGAGGTTGTGGAAAGTGAGGGTGGGGATAGGAGTGAGGGTGGGGGGGATAGGAGTGAGGGTGGGGATAGGAGTGATGGTAGGATAGTAGGTAGCGTGGGAATAGGAGTGAGGGTGGGGATAGAAGTGAGGGTGGGGATAGGAGTGAGGGTGGGGATAGAAGTGAGGGTGGGGATAGGAGTGAGGGTGGGGATAGGAGTGAGGGTGGGGATAGAAGTGAGGGTGGGGATAGGAGTGAGGGTGGGGATAGGAGTGAGGGTGGGGATAGGAGTGAGGGTGGGGATAGGAGTGAGGGTGGGGATAGGAGTGAGGGTGGGGATAGAAGTGAGGGTGGGGATAGGAGTGAGGGTGGGGATAGGTGGGTGGGGATAGGAGTGAGGGTGGGGATGGGAGTGAGGGTGGGGATAGGTGGGTGGGGATAGGAGTGAGGGTGGGGGATAGGATTGAGGGTGGAAATAGGAGTGAGGGTGGGGATAGGAGTGAGGGTGGGGATAAGTGGGTGGGGATAGGAGTGAGGGTGGGGATAAGTGGGTGGGGATAGGAGTGAGGGTGGGGATAGGAGTGAGGGTGGGGATAAGTGGGTGGGGATAGGTGGGTGGGGACAGGAGTGAGGGTGGGAATAGCAGGGTAGGGATAGAAGCGCCATACCGGAATCAGAGGATTTATGACCGTGGGGACACGGAGGTATGTGCATGATGAATGGCACAACATTCAGGCACTCTCTAGAACATTCTCTAAACAGATGGAGTGCAGTAGGGAAGAGAAGGCTACTTCAAGCAGACCAAGTAGAGAGAAGGCTACTTCAATCAGACCAAGTGATGTTTTATTTGCCCATCAACTTTGTCCTCCTACTGGCTTGATGTTTTATTGGACCATCAACTTTGTCCTACTGGCCTGATGTTTTATTGGCCCATCAACTTTGTCCTACTGGCCTGATGTTTTATTGGCCCATCAACTTTGTCCTACTGGCCTGATGTTTTATTGGCCCATCAACTTTGTCTTACCGGCCTGATGTTTTATTGGCCCATCAGAATGGCCTGTGTTGATGTTTTATTATTTTTGTATTTTTTGAACTCGCCTGTGCAAGGCTGATTTTCTCCGGTAAAACTAAAGGGGTGGTCGGATGTCGGGGCGGATGAAAGGATGAAATCCTCCCGGGGAGGTCCCGGTCACGTCCCGTCTTCTCGCTGTTTGAGTAGGCCATCGTCAGCACACTTGGGCAGGGGCGGGGACGGTGTCCGGGGGCACGTACAGCCTGGCCCGACCCTGGCGGTGCACTGCGTGACTGGCCGGGCTGCAGGCCGGACAAAGGGGAGACCA